GGCATATTATAGTTAAATAAATATTTTGAATATTAAAAAGATGTTATCGGAGGTTAAATACTATACTTTTTTATTATTATATATGTTCTATTTTTTTCATATATTTTCTTTATATTGCGACGACAAGACATAGACTTGACTACCTTGAAAACGGGATCTTGATGCCAAATCAAATAGGTAAAATTAAGCCCCACAGTAATTACAAGATTTATAATTAGAATAAAATTTTTTTAGTTGGGCATTTAGGCGCACAATATATCTTTTAGGTCGGACACTACATCAAAAGTGTTTTTCAATATCTTTTTTAGAATATAATTTAAACCATAGTATTCGACCTTTCTTATTTATTTCTATTGGAGACAGTGCACTTGAGCACTTTTACTCTTTCTTAACTCGAGGTATTTTTAAAACCCATCTTTACGTCTTGACTGGATTATTGTTTAGCACTTCGGCCTTTGTTCATATATATCGAATAATGATTTTATATCAAAATATAAGTTTACTATTTTGAACACCAAGTAAATGAAACACCAATAATAATCATTGCAAAGGTAAAACTTATTGGTCTGGTACTGTTATGTATGCACTTATATGCATGTGAGTAAATCTCGAAGTTCGTTGACAAATAAGTTAATTGTTTTTTATTTTATTTAAATAATTCAGTAATTCACAGTTATTTTTATAAATTATAATATTTATAATAAATATGAAAAATTTTTATATTTATTTAATTTATTTTTCTATTTTCTATATTTTTATGTTTTTTTTTAATTAAATATATATATAGATAATACAATCTTCTTAATTACTTTGGCAGATTCACACTGGCAGTTTAGTCCAGTGTGAATCTTCATTCTCTTTCCTCATCTATCAGTTAATGAGTTAAGGACTTTAACTTTTTGATATATATACAGAAATGTTCTTTCTGATATACATATATACAGATATATATCTGATGGTGTATATATACCATCATGTTTTTAGTCTTTTAGATCAATGTTATTGGTTTAGATATTATTGGTTTAATATTAATAATAATTTTTGAATTTTTTTTGGACATAATTTTTACAACATGAACGGTCCACTAAAGTTCCTGTACTTCAACATGCCTTAAAATATTTTTATTTTTGATTAAGTCAATAATTTCACTATATGTTTTTTGACTTAAAGTTTATTACTTATTTTGAAGGGTCAATCAATTTATTAAAGTATTCTCTCTCGAAGATTAGCAGACTTATTACGTCTATTTTTGCTGTGATACTAATATTGGAAAGTGTCATTATATATATATTTCACTATTGTTTTATATAATCTTAGCTTGATTTCTGTAGATATCAATCATGATTATAGGAGATCTATATACTAAAATTGGTAGTAACACCTATTTGCTGTCTATTGCATGTTTGATTGTCATTTACACTGAGTGTATCATCATTGGTTTTGTCATTTGGAATACTAAGTTAAGTCAAGTGAAGTCTTCAAAACAATTTTATATTCACTTATGTATATAAAGCAATGATTTTCAGCTTGTAGCTTTCGTTGCTCTCGTTTCTGCTGTGTGCTCTATTACTGTACTATTATTATTCTATTACTGTCCGCTTCCTCCTAAGGTCGGTATTTCCAATATTCTGGATACACATGGAGACGCCTCCATGGAGTTTTTTCCAAATACACAGCATGTTTTTTTAGATTTCTTCAAGACATTCTTTTTATAATTAAATCAATTCTCATGACATATAATATACAGAGCGTTTGCAGAAAATATTTTGTAAATTCTAAACTTAATTCCTTGATTTAAGAAACATTTGAAAACCCTTGCTGGGAGCTTTAGCTGTACTTCGTTTCAAGTGAAAATAGATACCATGGAGCACTTTTGCTGACTATTTATACTAAATCATGAATTAAGCGCGTATTCCACATCAGATTTGTTTGTCAAACCAAATTTGATGTATAATACGAACATTCGACAAAAAGTTTTGAGGGAAATCAAAAAGCTTTGATTTTTCCTCAAATTTGCTTGTATTTTTTTCGTATACAATTGGTTTTTTGTCAACTTATGTATATGCAAAACTATATTTATTTTAAAAGATGGTAGCGAAAACATCGTTTAAATGCATGCATGATTTTATTTTGTAGTATACTTGTTGTTTTTTTTTTTCTGGGGATGTGCAAAATAATGTCGGCTGTTTTGATGTGTAATAGCAAGCGATGACAAAAAGGTTTGACAAAAAATTCTCATGTGTAATACGCGCTTAAGTTTTATACACTTCCAGGTGTATATATTGAGGACTAAGTTCACTTTTTATGTACCTTAAATTGACAATAACCACATTAAGATATTTGAAGGTATGAGATAACATTTCTTACACTTCAGAAATATTAGATAGTCAAAACAAAAGAAAAACATTAGAAAGTCATTATATTAGAAAGTCGTTAATAAATAGAATCTTCAAAACCACTAGAATAAAAAATGGTTGCGAAAAAAATTATTTCTATATCTTAATTAGTTATTTAGTTATTCTATTTAGTTAAATTAGTTATTTATTGCTTGTTTATATAAAATAAAAATTTTTTTTCTCTAAAAATAAAGCAATTATTTTTAGTTGTTAACTTAAAAACTTAATTAAAAATATCTTTATTCTTTTGTTTGAGTTTGAGTGGCGCAAATATTTCACAATTTGCTGAGTTAATCAATTACATGGATTTTTATTTATATAAACTAATTATCAACAGTTTAGTACAGGGTATAATCTGTGCTGCTATATAAAACCCACTGATTATTTGAAAAGCTGATAAGATTTAGATATTCATGATGATAAACAGTTTTATTTTTTGTCAGTTGATTAGGTTTAACAAAACAAAAAAAAAATGCAGATATAAGCACTTGTTAGTTTTTCTTGATATATAAATCCACTTAAGACATTATGTTTCACATATGATAGTATATGCATACATAAGTATATAGGTTGATATTATATTTACGAAATTTGAAAGTTGGATTAGATTAATTTTTTTTTTTTTGGCTATAAAGTCACAATTATAATAATCGCTCTCCTAATGTAATGTTTCATTAATTTAAATTTTCACCATATAATAACAGTATGGCATACCAGATAGGATGCGTCCGAGAACAGTAGGGTGACCTACTAATATGTTCGAAATGTCAGATTCGTTAGAGAAAGACAAGATTTCGGTTTCCGTTTGAATCTTGTTTATTTTTTCACGAGACATGGATCTTTTAATACATTTTTGCATGGAAGGTCTCTTTCTGAATCCCCGAATTGTGTTTGCGGTCATTATGCAGAGAATTGGATTCATCTCCTTTGCGAAGTACCCCTGTACGTGGATCTTAGCGGCTTGAATTGCTTGAATGATACATATAAGTTATGTGTATGATGTCAGCGCCGTGCTGGCAAGAACCGTCAAATCTGGCAAAACCGTCGCCGTACACTAATGGCTCAATTGCAATAGTGTGTGTGAGTGTGATAGAAAGTGAGAGTGTGAATGTAAATGGAGTGGTCAAACAGCTGTGACACCCTGAATTGGCATAAGGCCTGTTATAATGTCTTATTATCTGTTTGGCCTATCTGTTTGCATGTCTGTTTACCTCTCTGTTTGCCTGTATGTTTGTCAGTTGTATGTCTGGATGGATACCATTCCGATACTGTTTGAAGTATCACTGATAGCAAGTGACCTTCTCTCTTGAGACACCCCACTGACCACAGAGGTCAGTGTCCACAGCTACGGCGGTTCTTACCAATGAGAATGGCTCCTTAGGGGAGTGATGTGGTTAAAATCCAAATATTCGCGTGTAGAATGACTGTATTAATTTACTTTTATTCGATATGGAGTTTCAATCGTGTGCTGTGACTCAAAGATAAGTAGAGGTGTTAGATAGGCTTCGCTCTTCACCAAGGAGGGAACTATATCTAAATGTTTAATTTTAATTAGATTTCCAATTGGGTTTTTATCACTGCAGTATACCGATACGTGTGTTAAGAGCACTGTGGTGTTAAGCTTTCATGGCAGGTAATTACGTAAAATAATTTTGTACTTGTGTAAGAGATAACATAAGAAGATGCAAGACGTTAATGTGGTTTTAATTTTTGTTTTGTAAAATCACAGATCAAATTAACTCTATATTACTTACTTACATACCGTCATCTTAACTCCTCCTGCTAGAGCATAGGATCTCTAGAAGCGATTTAAATCATATTCTATTCAATGCTGTCGTCGTGACGTCAATCCATGTATATCCATAATGCCGGATATACAATTTTCTTACAACAGAACAAAAATGTTGATCTTTATACTCTAATTTAAATATTCTTTGTTTAGACTCAATAAAATTATATTAATTTCTTACTCCTTTATTTCTTAAGTTTAAATTCAAAATATCTTAAACTAAATGACGAATTATCGTCGTCGTATTCAACCGTTAACCATAATGACGTCCATTCGTTTGTGAAACCTAAAGTTAGATTTGTTAGATATGTTAGTATGGAAATGTATACATACAAACATTAGATTACTTAATTTAATTTATAGTAAATATTTTAATGGTTTCTACATGCGTAAAAATAATAAAAAATTTTAAGTTATATCTGCTAGACAATGTGTCAAAGTTTAATTAATTTATTTTTTTTTTTCTTAAAAAAATATACTTTCGTCATAAGCTGAAAATATAAAAAGATACATAATTGACTACTAAACATATTTAATTTTGTAATTATTATTATTATATATATATATATATGTATTTACATATTATTTTGTATACATATTATTATTGTACTTTGCACATTTTTATACAGAAAACTAATTAAAAACGTGTGAATCTGAAATAAAAAATGTATTTAGTAAATGCAAAGTTCATATATATATATAAATGATTTGTTTTATATTTACATATGTACATACGTATATGCAACATATATATTCAAGAGCTGATACTCAAGAGCTTTGATATGTAAAACAAAATTTTTTCTTAAATCTTATAGATAAAATACGAAATTTGCTACAATGGCACAACATGATACACTATTTAACCGCCCAGGTCCAAATCGTTTGAAGGCAACAGATGTCTACCGCACCGCTGACCCTACACAACCAGTTAAAATTCGTTTCTCCAAAGATGGTTTGGGAGCTGAAGAACCAATTTCCATTCCCGGCTTACTTAAACGTTCTGCCAACAATTATCCAGATTTTCCAGCCCTAAAAACAAAGAATGAAAAGAAGGAATATACAACCGTCACATATAAGTAAGTGAAATAGTAGTTTTATTGTTATTTTTTATAGTAAATCTTTTAATTTATATATTTTCTTTAGTTAGTAATATTCAAAGCTTAAAACACAATTATATTTTTACTGTATAACATTTGTAGACATCTAGTTTTGGTGTAGAGACAAAATTTCGAGACACTAATTGGGAAAGTCAGCCCTTCTTCTATGTTAAGGCAGATGTTGACAAGCACTGAAGAGTGAAGCCTTTATAAGTGCATAAAGTCTAAAACAATAAACATTGTTAAAGCATACAATATACTTAGTACGAAATCAGACTGAAAGCACGCTAAATGTGGGGATCTCCAGGATTTTGAGCTGAGAATGTGAGAACTTTTTATATAATAGGCATGCATGACTCAATGAGTCGTGTATAAATCGGGCATGCAAATGGTATGTGCCGTTTGTATGTTTAGAAGATTTTACCTCTAGGTTCGATAACAAAAAAATGTTATTAGCAGTACTAGGTTATTTACCTAGTATTTACTTAATTCACCATTACAGACGTAAGCTGTCTTTGGCCGCGTACTACTTTAGGTTAGGTTAGTAAGGCAGTCCTACAAAATGAACAACTGACTTAGGCTTTATGGATACACTGTTTACTTGTGGGAACATTTTGGTGCTCTTATAAGTTTGAGAATGTTTTTGGTCTATTGTTATATTATTAATTATCTTGAAAAATGATTTGATGTAACAAATTAAATTTATCAGGTATCAAATTTGTCGCTTTTAATTAAAAACTAACGCTGGGTTTCAGTGCTTTGGGTATAGCAACAAATATTTTTTTTTTATTTTTTTTTTTTATTATATTTAAATAGAGTTTAGAGTTTGAATTAAGAACAACTAGTCATATTGACTAACAAGAGGTTTTTTAATTAATATATTACTAGTAATGTTACTTAGGAATGTTAGTAGTAGTAGTAATAGTAGTAGTAATAGTAATACTAGTAGTAGTAATGTTACTAGTAATGTTAGTGAGCATAAAGATCTGAGCTTGCTAGTCATTTCCTTACAGGTTGAAATCAGCAAGGAAAGGTCCTTTGATTTGAAGCGACATAGCAACAAATGAGCTTAATTAGTAAGCGTCTATGTAGTAAGGTTGTCTTATGATATTGACAATAGTAATTAGTATATAATATTTCTAGTTATAGTTTTACTAAATATATTATCAAATAAAATAAACTTTAAAGTTTTATTGACCATTACATTAGGATTTTTTGGATTTATTATATTAATATAACAAATAATGGGTTTAATTAAAACTCATCTATTATGTGTCAAAATCTTTTCATGGTGTCGGTAGTAGTAACTACTGATTAATGTTCTTAGTTTTATTTTCATTAAATATATTAGATATAGAACATCTAAATAAACTGTTAAGTTTAATTGACCAAGACGTAATCTAATATGTTGAGTGACTAAAAAGTCTATATTATATAGTAAATCCATTTTGTGGTATTAGGAGTAATTTCTGTTGCTTAATGTCCGTAGTTTTGCTTTGCCTTGATAATTTGCAAAATGTGTGAGTGAAATGTTATTTATAGACAAATTAATTAAAAAGTTTGTTTTAAAATAAAACTATTAAAAATTGTTTAAAAAGTTAATTTACTCTTTTAGGTTCTAAAAGAGTAGAGAACTTTCATACTCGAAACACTATAATTATAATTTTCTGCTTCACATTTTACTTTAATGTGATTTCTACATTTTGGTTTAAAATTTATTTTCATACGTTTCTTATTTTTTTCTATTAAATATAAAATTCATTATTTACTTATAAAATATTTTAGTAGTTAATTTTTTACCAATCTGCTGCCGCACCATGGGAGTGGGGAGTGGGGAGTAGGGAGTAGGGAGTAATGTCCATTAAAATTTCGTTAAATTTTAGGCACTACATTTGTCATATGCCGGAGCGTAACTTCGCAGAAGGATTGAAAAAGTTGTTGAAAATGTTTTCAAAATTATTTAACTTCGTTACTTAATTTGTCAGCTATTAAAATTCCTTAAACTTTAGACAAATTAATTTAAATGTGCATAACTTCCACGGATGGCTATGAATATAAATTTGTGTGTTCTAGTATTTTGATGCACAAAATTGCTTTTAAGTGTGTTTTGGTGTTTTGGTGTTTTGGTAATAAAAATATTTGTGGAAATTTCCGAAAGTGGGAATGTAAGATATTCTTTACTAACTTGAAGACATAACGATTAAAATTTAATTTTCCTGCAATTTATTTCTAACTTCAACGCTTGCCCCGCCCCGCCCCGCACAACCCGTACATAACTCGTTGCGACACTTTTCTGCACAGTTTAATATTTCGACATTTGTCGCCATATTCTTACGCTCCACTTAACCTAACAAGACAAATTTTATTACATTTCATAACATTTACTTACGGTTTAAACCCAGCTCAACAGCAACGCTTCAAACCCACTTAACTCCCAGCCACTTAAGTAACATTTCGCTATTTCTCTATTTCGCTATTTCGCCCTTAAGCCAAACGTAATATGTAGGCAAATAATCTGTCTGTCTGTCTACTTGTACGTATCGTTGATATTTACCCGGCTTGCATGGACCACTGCTGGCTGCGCTTGCTTTTTTCCTCGCTATATGTAATATTAATAAGATAATTTTAGTGAATAAAATTTTTTTTATTTATTTATTTTTATTTTTATTTCTATTTTTATTTCTATTTTTACTTTTATTTTCTACTACTTTGTGCAGACAATATGAACAGAAAGTGCATCAGACTGCAAAGGCCTTTATCAAGTTAGGACTGGAGCCACATCACTCTGTGGGCGTGCTAGCCTTCAATTGCGCGGAATGGTACTACTCAGCAATGGGCGCCATACACGCTGGTGGTATTATTGCCGGCATTTACACCACAAACTCAGCGGAGGCTGTAATGCATGTGTTGGAAAATTCTCGCGCACAAATTGTTGTGGTCGACGATGCCAAACAAATGGAAAAAATCCGCTCCATTAAAGACAAATTACCACTATTGAAAGCGGCTATACAAATACAGGAGCCTTATGCACCGTTCATGAAGAAGGAAGACGGCTACTATAGAGTAAGTTAACAAGCGCAGATACTTGTGACAAAATGCAAAAATACAATAAAAAGAGATTGTGTGAAAAGTTTAATGTTTCGCAAACAAAATAACAAAATGACAAAATACTTCACACTTCAAACAGTTATTATATGGATATCATTAAATTATATTGCCATAATTTTAGAGTACTGCATTCACAACAGCTCGATAAAGTTAAAGGCTCAAAATTCAAATAACATACAGTCAAACCTCTATAACTCGAAGTATCATTTTGCAAAGAGAAAGTTCGATTTATGGCGACTTCGAATTAGAGAATTTTTTTGTGTTTGTAAGTGATTTGCTCTCTAAACCCTGTTATGCACTGTTTAGTTCAAGTTATAGAAAATTCGAGTTATAGAAGTTCGAGTTATGGAAGTTTGACTGTATTTTACTTTGAACGCAAACAAGTGTCACATAGAAAAAAACTTGATCTTTGTGCTATGACTTAATTAAAGTTCATTAAAATTCATTACCTTACTTGCAGTGGTCAGAAATTGATGCCATGAATGTCAACGACATGGAGAATGAATTGAAGACACGTCTGGAAAATATTGCCATAAATGAATGCTGCTGTTTGGTCTATACGGTGAGTAACACAAATGCTTAACAAACACAATGGATACACAGTAAAATCTCTGCTAAAGCGACAAACTTTATGCAACATTAAAAACTAATACATGAAACAATATAGTAATACTAGCACAAATTTGTGTTTTTACCTTAACATTATACTAAAAATAGTCAAATTGTTTAGCAATTTTTCAGAACGCCGTATTTCTGTATTTGAAAATCAATTTTATTAAACCAACCAGCCTCTATGAGTTTTTTCTTGCTGGTTTTTTTTGGTGACCATATCTATATTTTCTTTTAAATTTAGACACAATACTTAACAATACTTATGTGACACTCTACATAACATACATTTTCGTTATAGTTCGAAAGAGCCAATTTTGCTGTGCCCGAAGCACTCCACATAGCATGGCTCTTAGTTATGTTAAGCCTTTTCCGTGTTAGTGCATCTGGGCACTTTTATTCTATGATAGCTGGGGGGGATTCTGCAGAGTGCCGCCCTTCATGATTATTCAATGATTGATCTAAGATCTGCGTAGCACTCCGCACGGTTAGTGATTACTCTGAGATTAGATAGTGCTAAGTATGGCAGCCTGTCGGTTTTCGCATATAGCTTCAGAGCTCTGTCCCTTATAGTCTATGTCCCTTATGTCTTAGTGTCAATTAAAGGTGTACACATAGTGAAGATAAAAATGAGCACGAAGTGTGATATAAAAACGATTTCTTGCTTTTCCAATCTTACAACAACCATTAGGACTAGGTCCTAGAGGCACTTGTCAATTTTAAAAACCAAGTATCGTTTACCAAACCACCACCTCTCCACCCAAAGGGACTACACAATCCACGCAGGCTACAACAAGAACATGCTTGCTTTTCCATCAAGGCGATGAGTGTTTATAGTGAAGATTAATTTGTTGGGTTTGTGAGAAGAAAGTTGTACATATTTGTTTTGCAGATCCTATAAAACGAAACATTTTAAGACTTCTACAAATAATTTTTCTTTCAAGAATTATCAAACATTAAAAATCAAGTGTCAACGATAACCCAACCAAAGTAATTGCAAATATTAAGCAGGGTTCCAAGAACGGTCGAGTCTTTTCTCTACCATCAGCATTTCGATTTCCTTATATGATATATATTATATGATTTCAGATGCAGAAGGCGCATTTAAGTGAGATGCTCAATTTGTTTAGTAATAGTTACTTTCAAATTTTCACTTAAATATCTTTATAGTTTTATCTAATTATTAAGTTTGAATTTTATTAAGTGGGATTTTTTTCCAAATAAATATATTCACTATCATTAAACAAAATATAGACACTGTTTACTTAACAGTTGAAAAGTTGTACGAGTAGCTGTTAAAGTTAGTTGCAGTTCTCTTCGGTCACCCTGTATATATATATAAATCTAAGAAGGTCTGACTCAATATACTTTCATTCAATATTATATAAATTGACTTATCCACATAAAATAAACAAATATATGAAATAAAAATACAATAAATAAGTATATAAAATAATTATTTAATTACATAATTAATTAATTATTTAATTACTCTTAATTTTTATTTAATTATTTTTAATTTGTACTTAGTTCTCCTTTAATTTTTTAAGTAATTAATTACTATTAAAATTTATTTACTGTATATATTTTGGATATATTTTATATGTGCGTTGTATGTAATGCTATGTTTTTATTACAGTCTGGTACCGTTGGTATGCCAAAGGGTGTTATGTTAAGTCACGATAACATTAGCTATGACACACGCGCTATTGTTAAATCATTGGATCGCGTCACTATTGGCTCTGAGGTCCTTGTTTCATATTTACCATTGTCTCATGTGGCAGCACAAACTGTGGACATATACACAATGACTTTAATAGCTGGCTGCGTATATTTCGCTGACAAGGATGCACTTAAAGGAACATTAGTCAAATCATTACAAGATGCACGTCCAACAAGATTTATGGGTGTACCACGTGTGTTTGAGAAATTTCAAGAACGTATGGTTGCCGTTTCCGCTTCAAGTGGTAGCTTCAAAAAAATGCTCGCAAGTTGGGCAAAGGGTATTACACTCAAACATTATATGGAAAGTCAGGGGTAAGAATTATTTTTCATAAAATTTATAATTTTTCTCTTATTGTTGTTGTTGTTAATATTGTTGTCTTTATTGATGTTGCTGTGGTTCATGTTCATGTACAAAAACCGAAATGCCTCGTTTCCTTATAAAAATCGAACAGGACGGTCGAACTGTTATCATAGGTTTATGGTTTTGGGATGCAGATCTAATTGGTTTCGAAATCTATTCCCTTGCTTATAGCTCATTTAGATTTTCGATTTAGATTCTTCAGAGTAGTGAGCAGCACTTTTGTCATGGTCATGTAGTTATTGTACCCCACTGGAATCTAAAAGCAGACAATATGAAACGATTTTCAAGACGAAAATACAGGTTAGGATGTGGATGGTTGATAGTTAATTTAGGGTAGGAAACCGGGAATTAGGGAGAAGGTGTAGATTGGGAATGAGGCATTTTTATTATTGAAGTTGGCAACTGATTCGACATGTGACATGTGGTTTCAGGAATACACTCATCAAATACGACGAAAAAGCACTGCTTACCTCACCTAACAGGGACTATATAAACAATTCTTATCTGGCTAAAACAACAATAATAATTGGCTTCATTATGTAGGCCTGACACCGGAGGTGCTATTCACCGTAACGGCAGCTCCTACCTCATTCGGTAAAAAATAAGGATCGATGACGTCGCCAGCGGTTTAATAGTTAACAGCTTGAGAATTATCTTTGCTTCATATACGGCAATTTTGCTTATTGACGTAGCCATTTAACCAGAAATCAGCTTCATCAAAGAAAAGGTTCGACTTATGGAGACTTCGAGTTAGAGAATTTTTTTATGTTTTTTTTTTATTTTAAAATGAAACTAGAATTACATTTTAACATATTTATTTATTTGTAATCAAATAAAGCAGAGAAGTTGTAGTGAAGTAAAATATTCAGAAATTAGTGTTTGGGACCTTAATTTTTTTCTTATCTTCAGTAAAAAGAGATTCCAATTTATTTCAAATCTTATAGTGATCATTAGTTGTAGTATCATTCGTTTGCAAATATAAATTCAGAATTTTGATTGAGTCTTCTACTTCATTCTTGGAAGTCTGATGAACTTTCAGTGGCGCTTAGAATTGGATCCAGTAATTTAGAGCTATAGTGCTCAATAACATCATCATCTGGTGGAAAGCTTGATGTACAAATTTCATTGTCAAGCTCAATATAATCGTTAAGAGTAGCATTGGAAGGTATTCTATTATGGATTCTTAACATCATTTGATGTTAATATGCTAATACCATATTAATAAAAAAACATAGTATCTTTACGTCTATATTCGCAGTTAGCCATTTCAAATAGTTGTGGTAACCACTATTTTTAATATGTTAGATTTTAAGTTAAAATCTCATAAGTAATAAACATTAATACTGAAAATGCACTGAAACGTATAAAGTGGTGTATCAAATAATGTATATATATTCATACATATATTTTCATATAAATTCCAATGCAATCTCTTTTATTCGCACCAATATTACGGTTTACAATGAAAGTATGTCTGTTAATTTGTTAGTTATGATTACACAGATTTTTTTTAGTAATCGATTAGTTTTAGTATAATAGTAATCCTTCTATTTATATTAAAATAATAATATTTTGAAGAATTTAAAACTAATATTCTAGTGCCAATTGCTGGGATTATTACAGGGCTTATATATAGCTATAGCATATAGCTGTTGTATAATAGCTACTTTTTATAAAAATTTCTTATAAGTGCTAAATTTATTGCTTAGAAGATAAAGTACTTTTTATTATTTTTATTAGAAATATGTATATACACCGATTTAATCAATGAGATTGACGAAAATACTTATTACTGCTGTTATTGTAATCTGTGTCGTTCCATAGATCTTGCAAATAGTAAAACTCTGTGTGTCGAGAGCCTTACACTGTTGTGGTTATAGTGAACGCTTAGACCCACCTGCTTCTAAAACCCTATAATACTCCATATGTTGATATGTTTAATGATTTGCCATTCTCCGATAACCATGGCTGGTAGTGGAACCAATTCGTTCTCAATTTCGTTAGCCATGAAAATTCCAATATATAGAGAATATTTAATTATTCTTCTGGCAATGGCAATGTGGCTGCGTTTAATGCTTTCGATGCAAATTCACATTAGTAGAAGTAGTAAAATAAAACAAAAAAAAGTGGAACCAAACCTACTTGACGTTGAGAGATTGCATTGAAGCTTGTTGCATGCATTTTGACAAGCAACAAGGATGTTGCCATGGATGTTGAAACTATTGTAGGTAAACTAGCTTAAAGCTGTTGCGGTGTTGTATGTGGCAAGCTAAGCTGGTATAAATGCTGTCTATGCTTTGCGTGCATACGTGTATATTTTGTGGTTAACAATATCGAGTTGTGGCTTGGACAGAGTACAAATTACACAACTACTAGATTGCTCTAGTAGTTGTGTACTTCAGTAACACAATTGTGCACATCAGCGCATATAAATTTCTTCCATCCACACATGACTTCACATCAAGCATAAACATATTTGTATACAATAGCAGTTACACATATCATCATAAATGCATTGTTTCTACGGTCCTACGTAATGGAGCCAACAAAGGCTTGGGCGACATTTGATTGGACAGCTGACATGATTAATTAGTAATAGCTTTCATAGTTAAGTCAGGATTTCAGTTACAAATATTAGTTTGTACTTGAACTAATATGTTCCCAATAGTGCTGTATATGCACTATTAGATCTATAAAATATGCGTTCAAGCATTTTAGTTGATAAAACAGCAAAGCATTTAAGTCCTAAATATGTTCGGCACTATGCCTTACTACTATTAATTAAAATGTTAGCCTTGTACCTAATAATTAGCTAATTATGGAAGCTACTAAATCATGTTTCATTTTCTAATGTGTTTTCGAAGTAATATGTAATAATGTAAGTATATAACATTATTATAAGAGTAGAATAATACATCAATATTAATTATTAAATTACATTTAAATAATGAAAATGGTTTTTTATGCAGAAATGTTTAAGTTAAATAGGGAAACCGAATAGCAGAAGAACTTTAAAAATCTTTTAAACATTTAAAGTTTAACCACTCATTACAACATTGCAATATTTTTAAAGAAATAATTAACTATTAAAAATTCATAAACACATATTTTTCAGATAATAGCAATCGAGTACTCTCTGGTTATCCCAAACAAACCCTTTCCCTTTCACACTTACTTTACCTAACCGTATCCTAACTGATGTATACGTATTGGAAATTGCTTTCATGTTATCTACTATATATAGTAGATCTCCATGGGTAACCACGAATTATATTAATCGATTTATATTATAAATGTTATATATGCACTATCAAAATGTCAATAGGTCAAATTTTATCTATCTATCATAAAAACAGTATGACTAGTTGTGATTAAAACATATCGTAATATCATGTTTCCACTGCAGCTAAAACTACTTATGTTAATGATTATGTTACGATTTGGTCGTTTCTATTGACATAAACTGATTTATGCATGTGAAATAGCATAAATCAATTAATAAATATTTTAAATTTTGGTAATTTTTTTTTAATGGTTGTCTTCTACATTTTTCACCTTAAATCAGTTGATTTAGTTATAATGAACTCATTTATATAAAAGCTCTTTGTATAGTAAATTATACTCATTAGCTGCCTTTATGAGTAAAATTGCTAAATGAAACAAGTAGAAACATGGTTTACGATGAACATGACAATATTTACAATATTTATATTATTTGATTGCGTTAATTGTTTCTTTATAATGTACTCGTCATTTCAAGGCTTTATCTAAACTTTTTAAAATATATATATATAACTTACTTTTTTTAAATATATATATTCAATTAATATTACTATTAATTATTATAGCATCCTGCTCTGATGGAGAAGTCAAATATCTCTGAAGCGTTGCCAATTTTATATAATTGGCATATATAACAATATATAATACAATATATAATATATAACTATAGCATAAAAATAAGTTTTTATATATAAAAACTAATCTAAAAAACTGCTTTAATTTTAAAAAGTTCAAAGAAATCCTTTAAGAGATTTACTTACCTCCTACCTCCTTACTGCAGTCCTCTTCTTCCACTGAATCATATGGCCTTTAGAAGACGGTTAATATTTATTCTTGGATTCTTTGCATTACTAGCATTTAAAAAATATTTATAAATTTTTGTAACATTATGTTTCAGATGATTGTGAAAAAATAACATATATCATAGCGTAAATCTTATTAAAAAAATATTTCAGAATACTGTTTTCAAAAGCTTTCCCTGCATTTCAATAGATAAAGTAATTACTGCGACTGATTAATACTTCTAAGAACGATCTGGAGCCACTCGTCACCATCGACGTCTAAGTGCCGTTTGACATCTTCCAAAGGGACTTTACAAGCAGGTCCCAGCGGGACCATACAGTTGTTTTCACTATAATTAATGTTCCAAAATTAAAGTCATGGAAAGAGTTACTAATTCCATACTAACCTATAGGCTGTAAAGGCGAATCTAAGTGGGACTTAATATCGCTTGAAGTCGTTAAATTCTTAAGATATATCGTTGCATGTTTAAACTTGAATTTAATTTGAGCCATGATTTTCAACGACATGTGCTCATATAATGATATAATGGGATCTGTTATAATGTCGTAAGTGCAGATGGAAAAGTACATTGCCAATTGCACTTTCAATCTTTAGTATGCTCCAGTGTTCTATTTTTGTTGCCTTTTGAAAGCATAAGGATAATATAGGCGCTACCAGTATATTTAGAAAAAAATATATAATATACTGTCCTCATATTGTAATATATGGCTGTTGGTTCCTATATTTCTATGGCAGACTAAGATTTACAATCGATCGACAGCGACAGGGACAGCGACATCAATATTTAATATTTCTATCCATTACTTATTAAATTAAAATTTATTTTTTGTGTTTTAAAACTTTTTTAAAAATTATTTTATGTTATTTTCAGTAAAAACTCAGGTGGATTCCGTTACAACATTGCAAAGAAATTGGTTATGTCAAAAGTTAAACAAGCACTTGGTTTCGATCGTTGTATTACATTGGTTAGTGCTGCAGCACCTATGTCACCTGAAACTAAGAAATATTTCCTCAGCTTGGATTTAAAAATTTTGGATGCTTTCGGTATGTCGGAGACGGCTGGCTGTCACTCTATATGTCAACCCGATACACAACATTTAAATTCCATTGGCAAAACTATGCCTGGCTGTGAAACTAAAGTAATCAATAAAGATTCGAACGGACATGGCGAGGTATGTTATTTCATATCACCCTTTTTATTAAAATATAAGTATATTTAAATGTATGTAGATAATATAATATATATTATTAGGTATTAATATAATCATTTTTTTTTATTATTTTAAAACAGTTGTGTTTACGTGGACGTCACATTTTTATGGGCTATATATACAATGAAGAAAAAACAGAAGAATCATTAGATGATGATTGTTGGATACATTCAGGAGATGTCGGTTATGTAGATGAGAAAGGCTACATTTATCTAACAGGACGTTCTAAGGAAATTATTATCACAGCTGGTGGTGAAAATATTCCACCAGTACATATAGAGAACTTAATCAAAAAGGAATTAGATGGCATCTCCAATGCGTTCTTAGTTGGCGAACAGCGCAAATATTTAACTGTTATGGTTACTATTAAGGTAGGTTTATCACTATTAGAAAAATAGTGGCTATAAATATATAAATCGATGCTACGAGTATAACATGAATTGGCACAATTCCTATTTCGCAAGGACACCCATTTGAAGCGGACTTTTAGAGCAGACCGCTTTTTTGAGCAATTTTTTTCACTATACTATATGTCATTATAGTTCAGTTTTCAAGATATTGAAATTTAAAGTTGAAAATCTTACAAGAAAATTATCAACAGCAACTACATGCATCAGATGGTGCTTGTAGTTAGTCGTAGTTTCTATAATCGATTTAAAATTTCCATATACTAGTGCACTCTAGATGATGTGTGTAGTTTTTGTTAATGTAATCAATATAAAAATTTTATAACTTTAAACCTCAATATCTCACAAATTAAACTATATCGCCATACACCAAGTTGTTGCTTGAAATAGCTGGCTCTATAACATCTGTTGTCATATTAGCATATCTGAGAATACATTAAGACCGAAAAGTTTTCGGAAATTCTCATTTAAAATTCGCGCGCTGTATATTTTTCGATATTTTAAGTTTATGTAGTTTGGCAGCAATTAGGGACAATTACTATGCCAAAAATGAGCGCGATCTGTCAGACAGTTCGTTTACGGCAGCTGTTGAAACCAGTTCCCCTCAGTAGTGCGTTGCGAAAAAACAATGGAAAAAAATATTGAACAAAGAGTTTGCATCAAATTTTGTGTTTCGAACGAAATTTCGTGTGCAGAATCGTTGCGAATGCTACAAAAGGTTTATGGGGAATCAGTTTTATCGAAAACTCAAGTTTATGAGTGGTACAAAGCCTTTCAGGACGGTCGTACGACCGTCGAAGACATTTCGCAACGCACTACTGAGGTGGACTGGTTTCAACAGCTGCCGTAAACGAACTGTCTGACAGATCGCGCTCATTTTTGGCATAGTAATTAAGGACAGTGCTGCCAAACTACATAAACTTAAAATATCGAAAAATATACAGCGCGCGAATTTTAAATGAGAATTTCCGAAAACTTTTCAGTCTTAATGTAAATATAAATATAAATATATTAATAAATAACAAATAAAATATTAAATATATAATATATATATATAATTATAAATATTAAATATATAAATATAATAATATTAAATATATAATATATATAAAATATATAAATTATAAATAATAAATATATAATAATAAATATCAAAATATAAATTAAATATATAAATATATAAATATATAAATATATAAATATATAAATATATAAATATATAAATATATAAATATATAAATATATAAATATGAATATAAATATAAATATAAATATAAATATAAATATAAATATAAATATAAATAGGTTTACATGTTAATAAGTTTAAAAAATACCAATTTAAAATATATATATTAAAAAATTAAATAAATAAATTAAAAATATGATTTTTATATTTTTACTATGTTTTATCATTTTTTAAAATTTATTATTTATAATCTAGTATTATATTTAATTTTAAAATATAAAAGAAGCTATAATTATAAAAATTATTTGTAAATTAATTTATTTAATTATGATGTATATCTTATTATTTATCATTTTTTAAAATTTATTATTTATAATCTATTATTATTTCTAAGTCTAAAATATAAAAGAAGCTATAATGATAAAAATTATTTGTAATTTAATTTATTTAATTACGATGTATAATAATTTAATATATATTTTTATGCATTGTAGACAGAAATGGATCGTGACACTGGTGCGCCATTGGATGAGCTTTCCCATGAGTCTTTAATGTGGATGAAACAGTTAGGAGTAGAACATAAAACACTTAGCGATATTTTAAATGCCGGCCCTTGTCCAAAGGTTTGGAAATCAATTGAAGATGGCATTAAGGCTGCGAATAAGCATTCCATTTCCAATGCGCAAAAGGTGCAGAAATTTGCTATTTTGCCACATGACTTCTCCATTCCTACTGGCGAATTAGGTAAGAAATATATAGATTATATGATATAAATATTTTTTTTAAAAAAATTTTTATTTTTAGGTCCTACCCTGAAAGTCAAACGCAATGTAGTTTCTAAGCAATACGAAGACGTCATTGAGAAATTGTACGCCTGAAACGTTTTAAATACCAAAAATAAATCCTGAAACTAAAAGACCAAAAATTAACTCCTGTACATTTTATTAATGAATTTTTCATTATAGGTAGGGTAGAGGCTTACTACCAAATTTATTACATATTATATTTTTTAAAATTACTGAATTATTGGAAAATACATATATTTTAATTGTATTATATTTACATTGACTTGTTTATTTGAGTTAATGTTTTTATGTAAACTTACTCTCTACGCACGCAATAATGAAGTTTCTAGAAATCTTATTGAAATTCAGTTTTTAATGATCAGTCTAATTCAACTATATATTTCAGATATCTATACTATTTGATGATCTATAAATTAATATTTTTTTTTTATCATTTTCCAAACTATTTTAATTAAATAAACACATTTGATGGAAATATATTTAACTGCATCAGTGACTTAAAAAAGACCAATGAATTTTATTTTCAACATAAATACCAAGGATATATATATACATATATTGTTTTTTATTGTTATAAGATTTGAAATAAATAAATTATATAAGTCTTAAGTTTTTTAAGATTTTAAAAATATTTACAAAACTTGTTAGTAAAAATGTTTTTAATAAAATGAATTATTTTAGTTAAATTCTATTTGTGTTTTTTCGTTCTATAAAAAAAAAATAGGTTAATTAAGTAAATTTTATTTTTAATTTTAATAAATTGTTTTTTGAATTGCTTTTAATTAAAACACAGACTTACCAGACTTACCTCGGGGAGGTATGTAGGTCTGAGGTAAATTATTGCTTAGTCTGATGAAGTGAGAAACAATAATACAGTCAAGGCGTAAAGACGGGTTTAAAAGTACCTCGAGTTAAAAAGGAGTGAAAGTGCTCAAGTGGACTGGCTCAAATAGCTTCAACATAATTAAGGTCGTAAAAATTAATTAAAAAAAAATTTATATATATTTTCTATTAAAATAGAAGTATTTTTCAACATTTCGACTATATAGTCCATGTCATTTTTAGGGTAAATCTAAACAATATAATAACGTTACAAAATACAATAAAATATTTTTAACATGGACACAATACATAACCGTACATATATATATAGCCGTATATATATATGACTGTTTTTTGGTATATTTTTATATATAAATTGCCTTTCTTAGAATGTTTCGAGTGGCTTCATAATATCATCGGTGTAGACCTTGTTTGGTTTATTGGCGAAAAACTTTGACAAGTGATTTTAGCAGGTCTTCGCTTGGTTACTTTTTTTTTTTACCAATAATGGAGTTTTGCAGGGACTGAAAAATATGTTAGTCTAACAAGGCATGGTCCGGACTATATAGTAGATGCCTCAAAATTTTCCAACCAAGTGCCAGCAATTTATTTCAAGTTATCAAAGATATGTGTATATGTGTTTCTGTTAGGGAAATTTAGTTGCTTTTCTTTGACTGATGCCTTTAGCTGGTTGGTCTGTGAGTAGTAGAGAATCGAATTAGCTGTTGCACCAGGTTGGCGTAGCTTGTTATAAACAATCGCACCAAACACATAACCTTGTTGGTTATGGTTATAGTGGATCATCTTGATCGCTTGCATTGGATAATCTTTTGTTTAAAACCTTTTAACGATTTGCAGTATATACATATATCTTTGATGACTTATGAAATAAATGACTCTATTTTGTTGCATTTCATTGACGGTAATTTGGTCAAACAAATTTCTTAACAATTATTCATGTGGTGTCCACACATCGCGTTTCTTTGCGTAGGCTAATCTTAATATATGATTTTTTAAATGATGGATACCAAACTATCATGTTTGCTGAAATCGCAAAAATTGCTAAATCCTCTCAAAAAACTAATAAATATTTATATAAGAGACAGATTTTATCATCTACGATCTTATATACTCATAAAATTTTGATATAGCGAATCTACTGGCGTACTATCCAGCAATTTTCTGGAACCAAAGTATAGACAAATAAATAATTGAATTTATAAAGAGTGACAACGGAAACCGTTCAAAGTGGCTCAAGTCCGTTAAATGTGTGTTCCTGTGGCTTTTTTCAAGTCTTGGCTATATAATCTGGTTAACGGTTATTAAAGCGTGAGGTCCAACATCAACATCCTCACTCTGAGTTGTAAACTTCAGATATGCTGTTATACAAGAGTTCACATTGCAAAGTGTGTCATATGTTATTAATACATTTTCTATTCTGATAAGAGAATAGTGTATTTTAGGCTGCTCTCCTATCGCAGTGCACTGTATATATATTACCATATTATTGCTTAAAATAGAAAAAGTAACCAGCAAGTTAAGAAATGTGCTAGATATACTTAACACTTTTAAATATATTGAAAATGTGGAAAAATTATTTTTTCTGATGCACCTACAATCCAAAATTAGCAAACCAAACATTAATTAAATATTACAGAAACCTGGAAGATATATAAAATTGTCTTTATATATTTATGAAATATTATTTTATTATATTAACATTTTTCACTAAATAAATACTTTATATCAATCATTTAAGAAAACTGAAAAGTATCTTAACGTCAGCAGTTATAGTTAGTAAAATAACTTAATATATTAAGTATTAATACTACCACGGTTTTCTTCTTTTCTGATGTGATTATAATACGGTTAACATATAAATGATATCCGTGAACCTAAACGGGTTTGACAAAGTAGAGTTTTTTTCACGTTAAGCATCTTAAACTAAAATTATAATGACACTACTCAAGTACTTCAAGAATAATATTTATATAAAGTTATACCACATCTTTCATCAGACATTTTAACATTTTAAACGACCCATTAAGATGCCCCCAATCTATTAATTCTATTAATCTATTATGACATATGATTGGAAGTAGAATTTATAAACGCTTACAAATAAAAGTTGTGTTTTTACTTTTACAATTTTTTTAACTTTAATTTCGATTTGCTAAATGAATACAGTGAAATTTTTATCTTACTTGCACCAAGTACCAATTTTTAACAGATTCCTTTTCGTGGAGCCACTTACGAAAGCGATACAAAAGCACAAGTACCACACACTATGAAATTACTAAAACATCAAGTTTGCCGATTTCAGTATTCTTATCACAATAAGAACTAGCAGTAACTAGTAGTACATACACTGACATGGATCCAAACATATACAGCTTTCGAAATCATTGCGAATATTTGGTTTCGCCAAGTATTCCAAACGGTGCATATGTTCGATCCATTGGCGCTTAGACATTTTCTTCCGAACCGGTATTTCTTCACATTTCCGACCCGATAGCGGACAGTGTATATTGTAAGTATTCGGTATACGTGGTTGCGCTAGTTCCTTCATGTGTGGTGTCGCTTTGTAATTTCGTGCGTTGTAAGCAACAGGGAAACGTAATGTAGACCAAAACTCAGTTTCATTATCAATATGATAAAATTGTTCAGGAACTTTAGGTTTCTCAAAAGGACGACGGGGTTCTTTGCGTGCAGAGTTTTTGGTATTGGTCTTTGGTGAGTAAGAAAAAACTTTCTTTTCTGGGAATTTGTATTTTTCTCGAGGGTTCTTTGGTTTACTTAGTTTGTTCAAGTGCTCCATAGTTTTATTATCTGATTTTTTTTTGGTTTGTTTTGTATCTGCAGTTGCAGGTTCTTTCTTTGGCTCTGGCAGTTCACGTGGAACGGCATTTTTGGATGCCCATTTATAAAAGCGCACCCAATCATTCCGTCCCATGGGACCCGACTTTTGCCATTTTGTTATTTCACGCTTCTCCTGTGGATAATACCAACGTTTCGGTTGACAATTTCTTTCTATCCATTCGGGATCGAAACCTCTTCGCAGATTAATTTCATCTTCTTCATCGTCAGAACTTTTCGTTGCTAATTTGTCAGCACTCGGCGGTGTAAATAAATATTGACTATTGCTCATTTTTTTGTTTTCCAAGATAAATGACAGAAATTTTGCAGAATTATATATTAAACTATTGAATTTTTCCGTTTTTTCATGTTAAACCTCTTTGTTGTGAATAAGATAATATATATTTTTTTAGATGTTTAAATGAAATCCTATGAAGAGTTGATTAGTTTCAATAAAATTAACTTAAATGTTGTAAGTACTTTCTAATCTCATCAAGAATTCCATTTTTATTCACAGAACTATGACATACATATGAATGTATGCTTTATTCCTTTCCAAGTACGTATTTGGATTTCCTGGAATTTAGATATTCGGGAATTAATTTATAATAAATACGCAATTTTAACAATTTTTAACCATTTGGAGAAATGACTTCAGTATTTCTAACTATTTAATCGAAGTCTTACAGAAATATTGAACCATTCCTACTATTCAAATTTGTTCGAGAAGTTTAATAGCAATATGTAAAAGAAGATGATCTTTGAATGATTCTGGTTAATGATGTAAATTATAAACTGGGAGGATAGCGTTAAATATCTCGGCATCATGTTGGACAAACGATTCACATGGCTTCAACCTATAAAACTGAGAAGAATTTGCTGTGCCAAAATTCTTCATTACCTTCAACCGCTATTTAGAAATTAAAATCTCAATGCTAAGAACAGAAAACTGATATAACATATAACTAAATAATTTGTCCGTCATTTCTATATGGTTGTGTAGCGTTTAGCAAAGCTTCAAACACTACTATTCGCCGGCTAGAAATTGCACAAAGCCAGTCTCTGAAAAGACTTTTCAAGGTACCATGGTACATTAGGAAGAATGACACCCTCAGGGACATCAAGATTGATTCGATCAAAAAATACATAAAGGATAGAGCCCTGAATTTATTTGCGAAATCTGACAGAGTTACTAACACCACGTTATCAAATCTCAGAATGGTTACAGGCTCCTCGGGGAGGTATGCAGATCTGAGGTTAATTATTGCTTAGTCTGATGAAGTGATAAACAATATTCTAGTCAAGGCGCAAGAGGGGTTTTGAAGAAATCTCGCAGTTATTAAAGAGCAAAAGTGCTCAGGTGCACTGACTCAACTATCCTTAACATAATTATATAAACAAATAGTAAAATTAAACATTTTTATGCATATATATGCGTAATGAATAATAATATCAAAAAATAAGTATTAACATTCAAAAGGACTTTCTGGCAGATAATTTTACAATTTTACAATTTTGTTATTTGTGATTGTTTAATGCATATTACATTTTGTTAAACTTTTTTTTTTAATTAAAACAGAATTTTTTCCTTCAAATATTATTGAAGTTATAGTATTATAATATGCAATTGCATCGAGTTCTTTAAGGTTACTTAATAACTAATTGACAAAACGATCATGTGGGTTTTATTTTGTGAATGTCTGATGAGGCATGAGTCATTAAGAAAATACTTGATTTTTGGTCTGCCTTTGTAAGAAAGCAGTCATCAAGAATGTGGCTGGCACCTCTCTCTAAATAGTCCTACAGATACTTTAGCGCAATTTGAAAATAACGAATGACTTTAATATTTTTTCCGTAGGTAAATTCTTTTAATTGCGGATTTCTAAACCGTGCTGGCTTTAGTTCAATTAACCAATAGATTTTCAATAAATCGTGTTTTGCTTTCAAGCTTTTTTTTATTTATTTATGATTTTTAAAACACAGTTTAGCATAGACGATAGTATCATGATTTTTCGCTATATTAAGTAATAAGACTGGCTTATTTTATAGTACTCCTTGCTGCCATTGATTCTTCATGGAGCATAAGATTAGTAATGATTAGATTTGAGTTTTTAATAAAAATTGATTTATTAACTAAAACCTTATATGAAACGGTTTTCAACCTTGTTGTATTTTATAAACTTATTTCTATAGCTTTTACTGTAGTTACATATGTATATTTTTCTTATTTATTCTAAAATAAGTCAATAATCGGAGTACTTTCAAGTGCCATCTGGAGAATTGAAGTGCCATCATCGACTTCAAGTGTTTTCAATTTTAATATGTTCAATGCAAATATATAACTACAATTATGCTATCACATTGATTATATCAACAACTATCTGTGAATTATGCCCTAATAAAAAAGCGGGGCTTTGAGTGTATAATTTTGTTTCTCATCAATACACTCTGAAAAATATACTCTAACTAGTATAGCGACTAGTTAAGTTGACCAGATCATTTTGTTAGAAAAATTTTAGTTCATATATTAAAGATAATATGAAAACCAACATTTGACATGGTTGAACCAAAATCTTGCGTCGAGTAAGAATATTTTGACCTGAGATTTAGTTAAAATCTAGTTAAATGAACTAAATTATTTTTCTGAGTGTACGTGATTATTTGTTGTGTTGTAAACCTTTTTGTCAATTCAAGCGTCACACTCACTTCGCAAAAAAAAAACAACTTCTGTACTTCACAAATGATAATTATATCACTTCGATTCGTAAAAATTAATTTAATTAATTTTAATTTGCATTTTAAGGGACAGAAAAAATTTTTAATTAGTTTACTAAAAGCAATTATTATAATAATTAATGTTACCTTTTTTGTAGCATTTTTTGTAGATTGCGTCTTTTTTATGTCAGTTATACAATGTCTTATAATTCTATTAAAATATTATCGAAGTACACAAGTATTATATATATTTCAAAGTTCAGTACACAACTATATCGCTTTTATTTTTATCATAAATACGCAGGTGAACAAAATATTGCTTTCATTTTAAACAAGCTAAGCTTCATATATATTTTATTATCCCTCAAAGATAAGATAGTCTTCAACATAAACATACTTAATCGTCATAACAAAAAGTAAAACGTTTATAAAACTTTCAAAAACTACTTAATGTTTCATTAACTCATACAGCAATTTTCGAAAACACCAATTTTCGAATATACCAATTTTCGAACACACCAATTTTCGATTAGCAAGAATATTACGTGTGCTCATCAAAAAAAAATAACTATTCATATTTGTTCAGTTATGATCCCGTATTGTACTGAAGTAATTACAGCACATTTAATACCAGTGACGAGCCAGTAGGAAACAGATCTATCCGTCATCGTAGAAGTCTTCGAATATTACGTGTGCTCATCGAATAAAAATGAACTTTCATATTTGTTCAGTTATGGTCCGGTATTATACTGAAGTAATTAGAGCACATTTAATACCAGTGACGAGCCAGTAGGAAAGAGATCTATCCGTCATCGAAAACGTCTTCAGAACATAGATACATTATAGTATCTTCATCAACAAGTCCTAATGTATATATAATTTATAATATAAAAAATTTGCAATACTCTACAAGATGGTAATATTAACCAAGGTTGTTCGATGAAACTTCCTAGACGGAAAGAAGATGTTTAAAAATGATGCTTCGATATAATTATAAGATTTTCACCGATTTAAGTGCTTAGTTGCAATATTACCTACAGATACGAGTACGTAATCTACACTAATATATAGTATATAAATATTCTTATGCCAATAAATATTCTTTATTGAGCACTTATAAAGTATTGATTTAATTAAATTGTCATTTTAAAATCTTTATTATTTTTGTTGACTTAGAGTACTTGCTGAACCATTACTTTTGCAACATTAATTTATTTACGCCTATGTTCAGAAGAACTTCTTTAATGTTCTTTTGGATTTTATGTTTTTATCCGCCTTCCAACCCTTGCATCAGATAATAATCCGAAATTAATTCCCAATTTTTCTAATTAATAGATAATCTTGGTTACTTCTACTTGAAACAAATTTTTGATATATTTGATTGAAATGGAATGCAGTACACATTCATATATATATTATATATATTTATTATATATATATATATATATATATCTATAAATATACATATATAAATATATTGTGATTCTAGTTCATCATGGGTTTAATTATAATAACAAATCCGATCCTTGACCAGTTTGATTAGTTTAACCTATAGAAAATTGTATTGAAACTAATCAAGTCTTCATAGGATTTAATTTAAACATCTAAAAAAATTTTTATTATCTTATTCACAACAAAGAGGTTTAACATGAAAAAACGGAAAAATTCAATAGTTTAATATATAATTCTGCAAAATTTCTGTCATTTATCTTGGAAAACAAAAAAATGAGCAATAGTCAATATTTATTTACACCGCCGAGTGCTGACAAATTAGCAACGAAAAGTTCTGACGATGAAGAAGATGAAATTAATCTGCGAAGAGGTTTCGATCCTGAATGGATAGAAAGAAATTGTCAACCGAAACGTTGGTATTATCCACAGGAGAAGCGTGAAATAACAAAATGGCAAAAGTCGGGTCCCATGGGACGGAATGATTGGGTGCGCTTTTATAAATGGGCATCCAAAAATGCCGTTCCACGTGAACTGCCAGAGCCAAAGAAAGAACCTGCAACTGCAGATACAAAACAAACCAAAAAAAAATCAGATAATAAAACTATGGAGCACTTGAACAAACTAAGTAAACCAAAGAACCCTCGAGAAAAATACAAATTCCCAGAAAAGAAAGTTTTTTCTTACTCACCAAAGACCAATACCAAAAACTCTGCACGCAAAGAACCCCGTCGTCCTTTTGAGAAACCTAAAGTTCCTGAACAATTTTATCATATTGATAATGAAACTGAGTTTTGGTCTACATTACGTTTCCCTGTTGCTTACAACGCACGAAATTACAAAGCGACACCACACATGAAGGAACTAGCGCAACCACGTATACCGAATACTTACAATATACACTGTCCGCTATCGGGTCGGAAATGTGAAGAAATACCGGTTCGGAAGAAAATGTCTAAGCGCCAATGGATCGAACATATGCACCGTTTGGAATACTTGGCGAAACCAAATATTCGCAATGATTTCGAAAGCTGTATATGTTTGGATCCATGTCGGTGTATGTACTACTAGTTACTGCTAGTTCTTATTGTGATAAGAATACTGAAATCGGCAAACTTGATGTTTTAGTAATTTCATAGTGTGTGGTACTTGTACTTTTGTATCGCTTTCGTAAGTGGCTCCACGAAAGGAATCTGTTAAAAATTGGTATTTGGTGCAAGTAAGATAAAAATTTCACTGTATTCATTTAGCAAATCGAAATTAAAGTTAAAAAAATTGTAAAAGTAAAAACAAAACTTTTATTTGTAAGCGTTTATAAATTCTACTTCCAATCATACGTCATAATAGATTAATAGAATTAATAGATTGGGGGCATCTTAATGGCTCGTTTAAAATGTTAAAATGTCTGATGAAAGATGTGGTTAACTTTATATAAATATTATTCATGAAGTACTCGAGTAGTGCCATCAATATTTCGCTTTGCTATGATGATGTTAAAAATAAATTCTATTTTCTTAAAATATAAAATTAGTCAGATTGTAGTCCATTTCACCATGTTTTCTCGCACCCATTCTTTAATATTGGGAATAAGTGCATGGGTCCAGCGTTGATTAGAGGACCACTCCCATCTTCGCTGCAATTCTCTAAGTGAGTATACGCGTTCTGCAGATTTTCGATCTGTCGTCGGTGTCGTGCCTTGTGTGCTATAATGGCGTCTTAGATCTTTTGCATGTATGTGTGTTGTCAGCTTTCTAGCAATAATACAGATTGCTTAATTGAACACTATTCGCTTAATTGAACACTATTCTATGAGCGCAGTCAACACTCAACGCACTACGTCTGTATATCTGATGTATCAGTCGTATCTGATGGTTTTTACCTGCTGCCCATATAGGAGCGGCATAAGATATAATAGAGTCCGTGATTATAGGCAGAAGACACCTTCCTTCTTTATTTCACCTTGAGGTGAAACAAAGGTTTGAATCTGTATTGGAAAGGATTCGCGTAAGTGCACTATTTACGCCTTATAGATTACTACTGTAAAATGCTGTGTAAAGCTTAAATCATCGATCCTGCCTTCATGGTATGTTATTGCCTCTTGTGACAATATTTCATATCCACCAAATATAATTTTTATCATATTCTTTTATTTTTCTGCTATTATCGGTGTACTGAAGTAGTTGCGAATAATGCGTAAAAAATAATTGGGTACTTTCAGAGTTTTGAGTAAAATTAGTATCTCAGACCAGTTCGCAGAAGTGAAAGCAATTTTTATGTCCAGCGTTATGGTTACACAGCATTCCAGTGTAACTTCCATCACTTTGAAAAAATTCCTTCAGTAAGGCAGGTGTTATATATATCCACGAATATGTGTGATTTCGCTCGTACCGCGATTTGGAAGTTAGATTCCGTGGAATCTCGTTGTCTCGCATATACTTGAAGCATCGATTTTTACTCAGTTCATTTGTTTTTTAAGATCATATTTTCGCTTGCTGTACTCTGCGTTGTTGCATGCCACTATATCTACATCTGAGCATAGATATATCGCATGCCGTTTTCTTTGCTACGTGATAATACATCCAACATTTGTAGCACCTTTTCAGCGAAATAACCTCAATTACTCCGTATAACACGCATCTGACTTTAATGTGCCCAAGTGCTAACATTTTTTTGGCACTTTCCGCAGGCAACGTCTGTGTGCCTTCATAGGTTTTACCTTTGTTCCTTATGGATGATTTGTCCAGTCTTTTAACCTGCGCTTGTTCGCTTATCGCACCAAGTGGTTCTTTGTCTGCGTTCAGGTTTGTGAACACAGGTCGCCACACTGAATCATATTCCATAATTATATTTTGCTCCCCATTGCGTATATCGGAAACCTATTTCAAACCTATTTCAGGGTGCAGCTAATGTAAAGAGGCCCATTGATAAGATTTTTGCATACATTCATACTTTTTCATTATAACATAAAAATAATAGGTACTTGTATTTGAATATGAAGTAGTTGTATAAAAAGTTGATAAGGTTATTACTATTAAATAAATTTAATTAGAATTTAATTTTAATGAAATTAATTTCAATAAAAAAAATTACAAAATAAAAAAAATTTATAATTCATCTTATAATCTTTTCAAATAAAAACTTTAATTATTTCTAATTACTTTATGTCTTTGTTTAACTTTGTTATACGCTTCATACTGTCATTATGAAGTACTTTAAGTTTCATTAAGTGTATCAAACTGTTTTCAATACAGTGGATCATATATCGGACACCGTATTAACCATCTGCGTTCTTGAGTACTACACCTTGAAATGTGTTCAGCTTTACGATATTTGTTTGTTTGGCTAAATTTCAGCCTTTCTGTCAAACTAGGCCTTTCAACATCAAACAGATCATATGAAACCTAACGCCGGGTCTTTTGGGGTGTAAGGAGTAAGGAATCGTATCTTCGGTTTAAATGTCAACCTTCTACCTTACCATGGCACATCCTATTTCAACAGAAACGGCTTTGGCACTTGATCGCATAGCGGCCATAGTGAATATGAAAAGTTTGGTGACCGCATGTCCAATAAATACTCGTCGAAGGTAGCAATCCTACCACCAAATTTTGAGAATTAAAGGCTGATACCCTATGATTCCCGAGAACAACACTTATCAACTTCGGGGCTTTATGTTAAACCAGATATTTCAAAGCAAAAACTAAATATAATAGTGATCACTATGGGTATCACGTAATACCCACAGAAAGTAACTGCTACAATCAACTTTTATTTTTAAATTGAATTATTATTGAATTTGAAAAAAAACATGTTTAATTAATTAATAAGCAATTAATTGGTAACTTAGCTATCTATGTCGATGGTGCTAAGGCTACGGTTAAGTCAAAGCTAAACTTTTTTCAGGTTATTATAGTTTGTATTCCAATTGACTTATGATATAGTAATTATAAAAATAGTGAATTATTAAAACAATTATTTAAGTTACATTCGAATGATTAAGACTGTGTAATTAGATATCAAAGCTTTATGAAATTTATCTACAAACAATTCCATATATTCAATTTTAGTTATCGGTTGACTTTGTTCCATTTGAATTAAATTATTATACGATGTATAACCGCATATAGAATAAAATAAAATAAAAATTTTATTTAAGTGAAGATAGTTACAAAATTTAAATCTCAAAATATACAATAAACTATATAAAGAAGTTAAATATAAAAATTTGAATAAATAAAATTTTGAAAGCCTATATTTTATACTGAGAACAAAGAATAATTGTAAGTATTACAGATAAATTTAGTTTCCATAAATAGAGAAAAAATTAGTATTTTAAAAATCATACCATATATTATAGTAATTCACATTACATATTTCATAAATAATTATTTTGTTTAATATCACAGAGAGCACGAGCCTATATGTTATCTATAGGGTGGCATAATTGAGTTCCAACTTTTCAATACAGTGCGTTGGTTTATTTAAAATTTTAAACAATTTTTTTGAGGTTATTTCGAATTTTTAATATGATAGCTTTAAGAATTATAATTCTTAGTAAGTCAACACGCGATTCACGCTCTAAACGATTGTAAACTAATGATATTTTTATCCATTTTTCGGTGATAATGTCTACCAGACATTCTATGCTATATATTATATATATTAAGTACTTTAACTCCTAGCAGGAGCATAGAGCCGCAACAAATATTTTCCACTTGGTACGATTGGTGGGCAGTAGCTTCAACTCTACCCAGCTTTTCCGCATATATGTATAACCTTTCCATGTCAATTTGCCTTCTCTAAGTGCGTACAGGTTTGCCCCATCTTCTGCTACCTATCGGGTTCCACTTAATCATCATTCTTGGTTGTTGATAAATTCATCCTCCTTTACTAAAGTCTTGCTCAAAACTTGTTAGCAGTTCGAAAGCCTTTTCACGGTCAATACTTTATATTAGTCTTGCTAATATGCTTCAAAAATACTATTGGTCTGCAAAATCTGCAAAATTTTGAATCATAACTTTTCAAACTACTTCAGCTATAGATACAATAACTTTATCGCCCACTAACATTGCGTGCTGCAACACTGCAAGTTTTGTTAAATTGAGATACAATTCGAGACAAGAAAAATGTATATAAGTTGCGCTTTTATGCTTAAATAAAGTGATGATACACTAATATGTGTTGGCTCTATCATAATAAAAAATTTTTCCAAATAATGAATACTTTCACACAATTGTAAAAAAAAACAAAAAACGTTCGATTTCAGTCCACTAACAATGTGTAGTGATTTTGATGCTCGACAATGCTCGACCTTATGTTGCAAGTCTAGTAAAAATTATGTTGGAAGCACTTAAATAGTTAATTCTACTGCATGCTTCCTACTTGTCAGATTTTACTCCATCAAATTACAACGTGTTCAGTTCAATATAAAGCCTTCTTTATGACCAACACTGCAGAACCCACGAAAATAATCCCAAAATGACTTGAAGAAAGAATCGTATCAAAGGACAAACATTTTTTTTTGCATGGATTGGTCATTGATGTATAGGAAACTGAGCATTCCTCACATGCCTCACTGCAGAAGTTGTGGAAACACTCAGGAGAAAGAAAGTATAATATGTTCTGGATGGTTTTGGCATCTAGAATATATCGGAAGACACTTCTTTGATAGTTTATTAGACTGTTCATCGATGATGACAAAAGATATAAATTATCTGAATTCGGCGGGTTGGATTTACTTTTCTTTACTCTTCTATACTAGGGTTCTTGTGAAGAATGTCGTAGCAAAACGGCGTAAAATCGCTAATTGAGGTAAATGGAAGTTATCGAATGGCCTGCCACTGCAACCAACCAAGCAACCATATATAAATTGCCAGAAAGATAGATTGACAGGTTGATAGAAAGTCAGCACTTAATTGAAATAAGATTTACCATTTCGGATATGAAAAATCAAATGTGAACCCTAATGAAGTTTTATGTTTAGTAAAAATAAAATTTTAGAAAGGAGAAGAGTAGTCCATTAAAATCTTAAATCCATTTTAATTCGAAAGTCCTTTCTTTGACAAGTTTACTATTACATTGGTTTATGTAAAATGGGCGTTGAAGGTGTATGCATTATTATTACACTTTATTGGTTTTGCATAAAGTTCAACATGACTGCGTATAAATGTTATTAACATTTGTAAGAATAAATAAAAAAAAATTTGTAAATAAAACTAACGCATTTATAAACGTAATGTATGAGTAAGTATGTGTGCTGTTTACGTTTATGGCCAGCAGTTATGTTAACTCCAATGTTGTATGTTGACAACTGCCTTAAAACTAAAATTTTTGTTGCAGAGTATTTAATCGACAACAACAACAACAACAACAATGACTACTGCAATTAGAGCCCACATCTACAACTGTTGGCATAGAAACCCCACTCTTAACAGTTGCACTGTTGTGAACATAAGAGCCGAATACAGTTTGATAGAATGTACAACGAAATAAACATAAATAATATTTTAAGCATCGAAAGCGCATAATTGTTGTTTGCTGTTCATTCTCAGCGCCTGGTATTGAAAAGTTTTACGAATGTACAAACAAATTTACAAGGATAACACGAGCCAGCCAGCCAGCCAATTTATATTCTGTTCAAAATATTGCAATGTTGATGCATAAAACCAAGAATTTAAAAATATACGTAATAACCAATAACCACTATTGAATATGAATTTATTTTTAACTTTAAATTTCCATCTTCAATAATATTTCCAACACAATTCCCATCCCAGCAACAAGGCTACAAGAGACTAAAATTAGATGAAAGTCAGTAGATTAAGTGGTAATAAAATGCATCGCTTTAAATGCATCTGCATTACTAAGACTATACCCTGCTGATGTCTTTATATAATCAATAAAACAAAAAATGAAAAAAAAACAGTCATCTCTGCTCAATGCATTTAATACACCCCAGAAGTAGTAACAACGCACCTACATATCTTATAAATATTGTTTTCAAAGTTATGATAAAAAAATATTGTATGGTTTTATGCTATATACTAGGTCTGTTCCACGTACTACTCGTGGTAACTTTGAGTAACCCTGCGTATACACAAGCGTGTTCGTTCCACTAGTAAGTTTTCGAGTAAATGACAGCATCTGAGAGAGCGTAACATCCCTGTCGAAATTTGAAAATGCTACACAGACTTTACTCGTACATTTTAGGTCTGTTCTACGCGCTACTTGTGATAACTTTGAGTAACCCTGTGTATACACAAGCGTATTCGTTCCACTAGTAAATTTTCGAGTAAATGAGAGCATCTAAGAGAGCGTAACATCCCTGTCGAAACTTGAAAATGCTACACAGACTTTACTCGTACATTTTAGGTCTGTTTTACGCGCTACTTGTGGTAACTTTGAGTAACCCTGCGTATACACAAGCGTGTTCGTTCCACTAGTAAATGTTCGAGTAAATGAGAGCATCTGAGAGAGCGTAACATCCCTGCCGAAACTTGAAAATGCTACACAGACTTTACTCTTACATTTTAGGTCTGTTCTACGCGCTACTCGTGGTAACTTTGAGTAACACTGTGCATACACAAGCGTGTTCGTTCCACTAGTAAATTTTCGAGTAAATGTGAGCATCTGAGAGAGCGTAACATCCCTGTCGAAATTTGAAAATGCTACACAGACTTTACTCTTACATTTTAGGTCTGTTCTACGCGCTACTCGTGGTAACTTTGAGTAACACTGTGTATACACAAGCGTGTTCGTTCCACTAGTAAATTTTCAAGTAAATGAGAGCATATGAGAGAGCGTAACATCCCTGTCGAAATTTGAAAATGCTACACAGACTTTACTCTTACATTTTAGGTCTGTTCTACGCGCTACTCGTGGTAACTTTGAGTAACACTGTGTATATACAAGCGTGTTCGTTCCACTAGTAAATTTTCGAGTAAATGAGAGCATCTGAGAGAGCGTAACATCCCTGTCGAAATTTGAAAATGCTACATAGACATTACTGGTACATTTTAGGTCTATTCCACGAATTACTCGTAGTGAAACTCAAGTGAAACACAATTAAAGTGTGGATCAGCAATTCTGCAAACGATCGACTTACAAAAGAATTGAAGACTAATTCGCTGATACAAAAAAAAAATTATCCTATAAGAAGTACAGATGATCATTGGTTTGTAGTAATCTAATAAAGCCCTAGAGACTATGTTATTTCCATCTAACTAATTAAATATTAACGACCAAACCAATACGCGAATTTATTGTTTGTATATAGAAGGATGAAGAAATGCCAGACGACTGGTGTTAAAGTATAACATGTCCGATACATAACATTGTAATATAGCTCTTAAAAAAAGTGCTACCTATCTTTCAAAAGCGAATGTCTTCACAAGCTAAATCATTATTGGTCAATACCAAGGTGACATGATCACAAACGAATATGTGATCTATATTACGTACCTGGTCCTTAAATGTATGAAGCGATGCAAGAATGTGGTGAACTTAACATTCCGTTATGCTATCAATTTATAACCCAATAAAGTTTGTCAAAGACAATGGCTTTAGCAATAATCACGTACATAGATCCGAGATCTGAAGCAGAAATAACTTTCACCTCAGTCTTGTTCAAGAAAAAAGTTTTGTGGAGAGTTTTTGGCCCCACATATATCGAAGTGTGATGCCAAACTTGCTACAATCAAAAACTGTACGCCATCGTTAAAAAAATAGAGTTTGGTAGAACCCGGTGATGAGTGATATGATCTCATGTGATAAATTTTATGATCATCAAAATCTGGAAGAATTACTAAGATCAGATCGTTTCGTTTTGCAATCGGAATTGGTGGAGAGAATCGTTGAAGGTGGCCAAGACCGACCACTGGTTGTAGAGCATTAATGATGAAGTTAATATAGATGATAACATTAAGATATGAGACCAAATGGTATATATGTTACCTATTTGCACAAATAGCTGATGAAGTGAAAGATATGTTTGAAAGAGTACTAAAAATGCTCATAAGGACGACTTATGCATATAATATTTAGTAATGGACGATATATGAATGTATAACTACACTTTAGAGTCAAAAAGGCATTAAACTAAATAGACTACAACTAAAGTCTATTTAGTAGAAGTTTGATTAAACTAAATAGACAAATTTACATGTTATCCACTTTAAATTGCTTTTCAACCATAGTATTTTTCAGATCTGGATTTAAGCGGTTACTATGTGCTTGCAAAGTTTAAGAGAATATTAAAGGGGCAGATAAACGTATTTAGTCCCAGTAAAGAAGCTATTTTGAAATCTATTTTAAGGGCAGAGCTAAGTCATTCTACTCAAAAAGCTAAATGTTATGAACATTTATCGTACTAAATGTTTCTGAATATAGTCGAATTTCGCCAATGACGATAGATCTTTAATAGACAAGATATTATATACAAATAATGCATTTCAAGAACACCTCCAAAAAAATATTTTTTAGTATATTACTGTGAAATATTTTTAATATATAGATAAAAATGATTGTTTTTAAAATTTAGTCACATTTTTTCCTTTATTTATTTCAGGATTCAAAAATCTGTCTTAGTGTCACTATTACATATACTTCACAAAAAATTTTTCTTCAATGGAGAGTTCCATAAGACCAGCTGATAGTTACATTAGTGACTCATTACTGACACCAGTAAAACTACGCTTGAATAATGAGAATAAGTTGGCACGTAAACCCCAAACAGTTCCACAGTTTTTCAGGGAATGCTGTTTGAAGTTTGGAACATTTAAAGCGCTATCCTATAATTATAGTGAAGGTGCAGAGAATGAATGGACTACCGTGTCATACGCGCAGTACGAAAACAAAGTAGAGCAAGTGGCGTTGGCTTTAATACATGTAGGTCTGAAACCGCGCACCTCTGTCGGTATACTTGCTTTTAACTGTCCTGAATGGTTCTACACAGAGTATGGTACTATACTTGCTGGAGGTGTAGTAGCTGGTATATATTTAACTAATTCGACGGAAGCAGTTTTTCACGTACTTAGCACTTCGGCAGCAACCGTTTGCATTGTAGATGACGCAGAACAGATGGCAAAGGTGCGTTCAATAAAATCACGATTGCCGCTTTTAAATGCTGTTATTCAGATACATGAGCCTTTTGATGATTTTGTGGGTGTTGATCAAGGTTATTATCGTTGGAATGACTTGATGCAAATGCAGTTTACATACGAACTTGCAGACGAACTTATACAACGTGAAAATAATGTCTTCGCTAATGAGTGCGCGATGCTAGTTTACACTGTAAGTGCGTTTTGTTATTCAAAAGAAAGCTGAAATAATTTATAGGGTGTAAGTGTCAGCCTGTCTAGCAAAAAGACCGGCTCACTTAGACCGCATAAATTGAGTGTAACATATTATCATATAAAACAATTAATGCTTATACTATAAATTCTTAGTCTGGAACAACAGGTTTACCGAAGGGTGTAATGCTTTCACATGATGCAATAGTTTCATCTGGTAGAAGTTTGATCGCGACTCTAGACAAGATAGAACAGGGTGAGGAGCGCTTAGTTTCCTTTTTGCCACTTAATCATGTAGCTGCACAATTTTGTGATGTTATTTTTAATATGGCACTGGGAGGTTGTGTATACTTTGCCGATCGAAATGCATTAAAAGGGACTCTAATTACTACACTCATTAAAGTGAGACCAACTGTATTTTTCGCTGTACCACGCGTATACGAGAAATTTCAGGAGAAAATTTTAGCTGTTGAGGAAAATTCCTCGTACATAACGAAATACTTACTAAATAAATGCAGAACAGTCGTTCAAAACTATCACCTAAATCGTATGCAAGGGTAAAAATTTGTTCATTAAATTGAAAATATATGTTGATTAAATAGTTTTTAATAAATATCAGGAACCCTTCTTCTACCATCGCGTATTGGCTTGCAATGCGTGTTGTTGGTAAGGTTAAAAGTGCTTTAGCCCTTGAAAATTGCAAATATTTATTGATTGGTGGTGCTCCAATTTCCGTGGACCTAAAAAAATTTTTTCTTAGTATTGATATGCCACTTTCCGATTCCTACGGTTCGTCAGAAATTGGTGTTATTTCCACAGATATAAATCTCACTAATCTGCACAGTACTGGTATGGCCACTGTAGGTACAGAGCTTCGAATTGATGCACCTGATGAGAATCAAATCGGTGAGGTTCGTATTTTTATTAAGCTTTAGTGTCAAAAAAAAAAAATTAAAGTCTTTAGACTTTAATGATTTGAAATGAAATTTCTTTCATTTTTTCTTGACAACACATTTTCCACATTATGTTATATTGTTTTGAGTCGTAACTGTTTCGTTCTATTCTAGATTTGTGCCCGCTCTCGTAATATATTTATGGGATATTTGGATGATATGGAGAGTACTGAAAAAGTAATTGATTCACAGGGCTGGTTGAAAACTGGTGATATGGGTAGAATTGACTGTGAAGGCAATTTGCTTATTTCTGGACGACTTAAAGAGATAATAGTAACGGCTGGTGGAGAAAATATACCACCGGTGTATATAGAAAATCTTATAAAGAGAGAATTACCATATATAAGTAACGCAATGCTTGTAGGTGATAGAAGAAAATATCTTACTGTTCTTTTGACTCTAAAGGTGAGTAATTTTTGCTTTTTATTTATTTAAAAGATACTCATTACAATCCGCATATAATCCTCCAAGATACTCATATTTTCAGTAACATCGCTTAAATTTGGTTCTAATAAAATTGATGATATACAGATATACATTTCATATTTCTGAAGGACAACATAAATAAAATATAGATTTTATTTCCATTTGTTGTTTTAATCTAGCTATTTTGTATAAACTATGCCATCATTCAATAGTTTTGCTATCATACTAGATTTCTTAAAAATAATTTCAACGACTTACCGGTAAATAACTTGAGGTTTACTGCTACCATGTTTCCACTGCTTACTTAGTAAGTTACTTAAGTAATTTTAAAATTTTGTTATTTCCATTGAAATAAGTTACTTATTGCACGTTGAAGAGCTTTTATGTGCCAGAAAGTTCCTTGACAGTGGATATATATATATATATTATACTTCCTTCTTATATATAGATTTTTATATATACTTCCTTTTTCAGTGCGTTCATAGCTCAGCTATTACTCGTTGTACATTTTACATATAAAACATATAACACATATTTCCCTTGTGGGAAATTTATTTTTAAGGGTTGCATTCGATAGTTTTGGTCCAATTATCCTGACTTTATTTTTAAGTAATAATACATTTCCACTGGCTTTGTTAGTTCAGTTAACTTACTTGAGATTCAAGTATTTCAAGCAATCTCAAGTAAGTTAACTCAAGAAAACATATATACTATAAGTTAAAAAGCACGGAAGATCTTTGTATGGTTAATAAAATTTACATAGTAAGTTACGCTTACTTATTACTAATGAAAATGAAGCTCTGGTGGTTGGTGGATTCACTGGTGGCTGAACTATTCATATTGTAAAGTAGTAAACATTAAACTATGTAGATTATGCCTTTATGAGAATTCAGTTTAACATACTGAAGCATTCTATCAAGTAAGGACCACGAAATGGACAACAAAATATATAAAATATTATCATAATTTATTTATATTAAAAAAAAATTATACTATATTATACTATATATATTAAGTCTATTATTATATTAAATTTAAGTAACTTAAATAAATACAAATAATAAATTCATTTAGTATTAGAATACAAATATTATATTTCAACCTTTTTAAAGATTATACTTTATAATAATCATCGTTTCATTTGGTTAGACCAATATAGATAATACCACAGGCTTACCGAGTGATATGCTAAGTGAGGAAACAATCAATTGGCTGACCTCTTTAGACTTGAACTATACTAAGTTATCTGAGGTTCTAAACATACCTAATGATATAAAAAAAGAGGATCTACTGAAAGTGAAAATAACACTACATCCTAGAATCGTGAAGTCTATTGAAGAAGGCATATCTCGTGCTAATAAACAAGCTATATCAAATGCACAAAAGGTACATAAATTCTCCATCTTACCACAGGATTTTTCAGTCGTATCAGAAGAGCTAGGTATGCTAGTAAAACTATTTTAAAGGTTATGTATAATTAAAGTTTTATGGCATTTTCTATTTTTGTGATTTAGGTCCAACATTGAAGATTCGACGAAGTGCTGTTTTGTTAAAATATGCCGACATTATAGAAAATATGTATCAATAACGCCACATCGCATGAATGAAAAAAATTGACACAATTTTTGGACATTTTCAAAATGATCTTCCATATATTCTGAGCATTAAATTAATGTATACATATATAAATATATATATTGAAATATATTATATTAATAATTAATATATAGGTAAATAAAATTTTTCTTTAGTTAGGTTAATTCAATAAAGTCGTGACTAATGTAAAATATTTATATTATTAAAATTATAGTGTTTCTATAGAAATATAGGAAAAAAGATTTTAATGAACTTCTGATGCCACCTCTTTTTGATTTTGAATACTATAGAAATTGAAACCTTTTTACTTAAACTTGACTATAGTAAAATTGATATTCCTTGTTTTCTACACTTATTGCTCAGCTAAGAACTTAAGGTAGTCATTAAAAATACTTTTACCAATTATTTTTTATTTCTTTTAAGCTTTTATTTATACTTTTACAATATTCTGGCATTTACATTATCCAACCCGGCTGTGTTAGCCAGCTTAACAACAATATCGGTATTAAAAATGGATTTTTTTATTTTATTGACTTTACTTATACCATGTTTCCACTTGATTCATTAAGGCAGTTTTGCTCATTAGGGCCAATAATGAGGATAATTTACAATACATAGAGATTTAATATAAATCAGTTGATTATAAATAAATTAACTAATTTAAGGTGAAATATATCGAATGCAACCCTTAAATATTATTAAAAAAAAATCATTTAAAAATTGATACAAAAAAAAAAAATACAAATTCTCAAGTTCTCATGAATTCGACTGTCGGGAAAAAATGTTTCAAATTTTTATTTAAAAAAAAAGCTCATAAAAAAATTGAGCTAAATAAGAGACGAAGCCAATTTAAATTCTAAAATATTTCTTATTCTAAATAAAGAGACTTCTCAATAAAATTTTTCAAAATAAACAAAATAAATCTGAAGAACATAAACCATAATGAATTATTAATCTATATCCTCCACAAATTCCTCAATTTCTTATATTTATACTTCATACGAAAACAATTTTCATATGAGCAACAGAAGCATCTCTCTGTGATGGATTCCAGAGAGAATCCTTTCTCCACTGCTTTAAGGGTTTTAATTTACTAAGAAATACAGAAAAGCTTTGTATGAGTGAATTGTTTATAGATCTCCAACTTCTGGGAAGACAGTTTTAATGGAAATTCAATTCAAATATGAATTTTCTGGAAAATATGGTTATTTTCTGGAAAATATGGTTATTTTCTGGAAAATATGGTTAGTTTCTGGAAAATATGGTTATTTTCTGGAAAATATGGTTATTTTCTGGGAAATATGGTTATTTTCTAATCGTTGGGACTCTTGGGGAGTGACTTTCATTTATCCAATTCAACTAAAATTTTACATTAATTATTTTTTTTAGTAAAATGAACCGATCTGGTGGGTGCCGCGGACAATTTTTCGACTTTCAAAAATTAATGGCACCCTAATGTTCCATGCATTCATATTTGTATATGTTAATATCTGAGTTTGTGGTTTTCTGGTTGAAGATTTGCCATAGACTTGCGTGATAGTTCTGACATATTTGTTACCAATAACTAGATTTATAATGAAAAGATTAAAAATTTTATAATTGTAGAGCTTTTGAGCTTTATGTGCACGTCTATAGCGCGACGTCATCTATTGCAAAACATTTGTAAGGTTGTATAAGATTAAAAATAAGTTTTGCAATACAGCATTAAAATGCTATAATATAGCATTTCTGAAAATAAATTACTATAAAAGGATACACAAATGCTATTGATAGTGTTGAGATATATATCTAATATTTTAATATAATATTATAAACTTTGCGTTACATGTTTCGAAATCTTGGTAGGAGAAGAGTACTTAATTTATTGTAGTTGATATGTATAATGAAACGTGAGTTTGCGTTATAAGACCGTGTTTAATTTTGGTAAACCATTTTAAGTGGATTGATATTGATAAATACTACAAAAGTTTATTTTATTCAAAGTCATCTCAAACACTTTGGAGTGCCAGAGTAGTGGCGGTATGTGTGAGCATAATGGGCTGGAAGAATTAATAGAAATATTTAAAAAATCAGTAGAAGACAATATATAATTATATTGAATTTTGATTTCAGAACTTAACTCCATTTCTGGCATGAAATCTTAAGAATCTTTAAATCATCTAAAGCTCAGATTGCAGGATCCCAAAATAAATTTAAGAGAAACGTTTCATGATCTAATATCATTAGCGGTTGAACTTGGCTAATTCGAGAACAAGTTTGTGAAGAGACAATAGAAAATGCTAAGTTTCTTCGTGGAAAATGGGATACTGCTACAACAAGGCGTATTAAAAAACGTCAAATAATGCCCGAATAATTGGCAAGAGAGGTTGGCCTTTCCACAGAAAGTCAAATTTCCTGTATAACGAAAAGTGTTCTCAATCGTTTACTGAAAGAATTAAATACACGATGTACACAACTAAGTGAATTTAACGTTAAATTTGGATTTTTGCTAGATGTTGAAATTTTTGATATTACGCCAACGACATTAACATCAGTGGGCGTAACAAGCGTAATCTTGCAGCTGCCTTTGCTGTTATCGAAAAGAAATCAGCAAGAATAGACTTAGCGGTGAATGAGGGCTAAAGGAAGTATATGTCGGCAACTGGTAGAAATGTGCGTCGCTCTGACGCCAAGCTAGTGACACTGTTTCCAACACCGTTTCTAATTGGTGCTACTATGCGCTCACTAGGCAACTGGAATGGAGAGCCCTCTCGCAACAAACAAAACTTACGTTCAATAGGTCGCATATTTCGTTAAAGTATGTTAATAATGTTAATTTCTCTTGAGTCTTTGAATGCATCCCTCGTAAAAAATAAATTTCTATCGATTACCATATAGTTGGTGGGAGTTGAAATGTAAACTGTAACCATGTAAGGGACAAACAATTTTAAATTTTAGTTTTTTGGAAATTGAGTCTAGTATTTTGTCAAATAAAACTAACTAAACATTCGCTTTGTTTTTATTTAATTTGTTTAAATTGAAAATTTTGTTTTATAAACTAATAACTATTTACAAAAATTTATAAATTTATGTACTATATTCACTAAATAATATTTATAAAGTTCAAAGAAAAGTAGAAATTGTTGAATTTTAGTAAAAATAAAGTAAATGCCGAATAGGCGCCCATAACTCGGAAAAAGAATAATTGCTGAAAAACACATGCGAGAAATTATGAAGTCCTGATACGAAATATACATAAAGCATACCTCAAAGTCTGCTGTGTGTGTTGAAATATCCAGAAAAGATAGGAACGAGAAGCGGTGGTACATGGTTGAGGTCAGTTTTCGAACGCCTCGCACACTTACGAACTGCGCTTGTCTAAAAATTGCAATATGTGCATTCAATTCCCTCTTTTAGACAATAAAATGTTTTACATTGTAACAATTTTGTATTGTTTCTTACAATGCAGCAGATAAATATTATTTACTACATTTAGAAAATAAATTAAAATTTATTTGGCATATTAAAATCCTTATATGCTATATTAAACTGAGTTTAGCAGGTTTTATAGTTTATAGTACGAGTGTTAGTGACCCAATAAAAAAAAACCTTAAAATGTTGAAATCATTCTTTATTTCGTTAAATTTCAAAACAAAAATATGCATTATATGGAATAAATTTTATTTTGTTCATATTGTTGTATAAGCAATTGAAAACATAAAGCCGAATCCAATTCATATTATGACTGCATCTTGTATCTTGACAACTCAGATGCACTTATTTTTGGTCAAAAAAACACTTGAGTTGTGAGTTGAGTCTAAGGTGTATACATTAAAGTATGTTTAATGAACTAAAAATTATTATACTTATTAATAGTGTATTATATTATACTTATAGAAATTCATAAATTGATATAATATATACTCAACTTATATACTCATAAGTTGAAATTTTCGAATAGGTTATTTAGGTTAGTAATAATATTTTGCATATTCTCTTTTTTTATTTAAAATTAATTCTTTTGAAATATTTCATAGTGCAAAATTTTATAAGATAATTTATTCATAATTTAAATTTACGCTATTCTTATCCACTTTCTCGTAATTTTATTATATGAGAATAAATTAACCCATATTCGCCCAACGTTCCATTAATCGCCCAACGTTCGTTTAAACAGCAAATTTTACCACTTTTCATGAATTTTTTGTTTATATTATATATTTTATTATATTATTATATTATATTGTTTATAAATGACATTACTTTGAATGTATGAAGCTTTAGCTTATCAAAAATATTTACAAAATATTTTACTAATTAAGCTTAAAAAAAAAAAATTTGAATAAAAATTTCAAAACAAAAATCCTTGTGCGGATATGGGTTAATATATATCAAAAGAAAATTTATTTCTTCTAACAAATAATATTCTATTTTATTTCTTTTTATTCCGAAAGTTTTAGAGTTTTAGCATTTGTGACAAACAGACGCTTATGTCGCTTCAAACCAAATGAACTTTTGAGGTGTTTCAACCAGCAGAGACATGACTAGCTTAGATCTATATACTCACCTTAGATAACTAACATTACTAATAATATTAATTAAAAAACCTTTTGTTAGTCAATATGACTAGTTATTGTTAATTTAAACTCTACAGTCTGTTTAAATATAATAAAAAAATAAAAAAAAATAAATAAAAAAAAAATTTGTGACAAATCTATTAAAAAATGTACATCCTTTCAAATTTTTATGTCTTCTGATTTCTGAAGATTACGTTTCCGATTTCGTCCCCGATAAAGAAGAAAACAAGTCCATATTACTATTTTTTCATAAGTGCATTGGTTATGCATTTATTACTTTTGAACATAATAGAAATATTTCACAGTTTTTTTTGGTTCTTATTTACTTATTAAAGTCAAAGCCTCGATTCAGATTCTACTGCCATTGTGAAAAAACTTTCATTAACGGTTGATGTATATTCAATTTTTTGTATTATGTTATTATGTATATAAATTCCTTTCATATGAAATATCTTTAATTTAGTAATTCCATATTTTTTTTAAAAATGTTGGTTTCTGTACTGTTATTAGAT